TGAAATTAACAAGAGTAGCTGCATGTGTGCATCACTGGAGAGTAAAAGCAGCCCCACCAGAAGAAGAGAAAGAAGCAGAAAACAAAGAGGCACCATACTCTTGTACTCCAATTCAGGGCCTGAAGTACAGGTTCAAGAAGCTTACAGTACAATGATTTTGACCTTATATCCCTCTATCTTTCTATGTTTCCAGGAGACCTGGACAGAAAAGGTGCCTGTGATCCTACAGGCAAAGGGGACACTGACCCTGCAAGCTCTGACTCTCCTGTGTGTAGTCCCAACCCTAATTCCAGTAGGTCCAGTTGAGTGGGCCATAGAAGAGCCCAAAAGAGGAACCTTAAGAGTAGTGATTATTCTAGTTTGTTCTTGTGTTCCCTGTTTTATGAGAATATTAACAAAAAGAACTACAAATACTTCTAAGGCTAGAAAAATTTTTACCCTGGTAAGTCGAGACTCCTCTTCTTTCAAGCTCTGAGGACGAATGTCATCTAATTCACCAAGATGCAGCCCATTTCCACTCTAACTCACCCCCACCACCCCCACTACATATGGCCCTTAGTTGGTACCAGGAGGTTTCTCACCCCAGCGACGCCCCTAACCAGCAGGAAGTAGCCAGAAAAGAAGCAACGCCCTGTTTCCCAAGATTGAGAAACTTCCAATAAAAGGGGGGATTTGAAGAGAGTACACAGGCCTGGTTCACTATTATTTACTCCCCATCACTAACCACCACACTGTCTCATGATCTTGTTTCTCTAGTTTCTGCAAAAGGTTTAAGATTAACCGATGTTCCTCCTTGGAGGGTAGGAAAAAGTGATAACGATCTAAGGATAAAAACCAAACAAAGCACGCATATTGTGACAATAACGATCTAAGGATAAAAACCAAACAAAGCACGCATATTGTGACAAGAAAAACCAGGATGTTGCCAGATAATCCCAAAGGATGTCACAAGATAACCTCAAGAATACCAGTAGAAGATTAACTCATCTGAGACATGACCACTTCAAGGGGAAACTAATACAAACTTCTAACATCCATAATCCTGTCCTTATAAAAGCCTTCAGCTGATCTCTAGTGGGGGAGACTGGTTTTTTGGAGGAATCTATTCCCCTCTGTCTCCCATATATTGATATAAAATAAATCTCTTGCTGCTTACCTCACCTCTGTCTCAGAATTGGCTATTGCGGTACTCGGCTCCAATTCACGTTATTGCAGTAACAGTTTCAAAGTCTTTCTTTGTTTTTCATGACCTTGACAGTCTTGAAGATCACTGGTCAGGTATTTTGTCAGAGATTCTAGTTCACCAACTTGAGCCAGCCCCTTCTGCTCTCTCTCCAGCATAGAAAGCAGGACATCTAGAAGTGACAGTCTACACTCCAAGATGTCTGGCTTCTCTTTGCTCCACACCAGGTCCCAGTATGTCTGAAAGTTACAGAGCAGGGAAGTTCAAGGTTTCATCTGCTTGAGGCTATTAGCAGTTCCTGAGATCATCCAAGTGGATCTTGTAACCCAGAGACCAATCTTGTCCTCCATAAGCCCCAAGACAGGCCTTCTCATATCTATCACATACCCCTATATTCAATTTTTAGTTTTAAAAAATTGCAGATTTTTATTTATGTTACAGGCTCTGAAAATAAGGAGATAATTTTTTAATGGATTCTTAACTGTGTTTTGTTAAAATACTAACTTAAATCAAGAGAGCTTAATCTGAGAGCATCAAATCTTTCTTAAGGGTCTCTAGAACTTCATTTTAAAATTGTCTTCCCCTTCAAACTAATAAATGTGGTCAAGGCCAGATTGTCTCTCAACTTTGGGGTGGGAGAGAAAAAGATAAATGGAAGTAGACAAGTGAAACACAAGGCTGATTCTGTCTGCTCACACACAGAGTGCTCTCTGTTCTACTCATTCTAAAACCCATATTGTCTGGTAGGCTTTAAATGAGTTGACAAAATCAAGATTCCTTTACTCATGGTGCTTTACCTAGAGATTAAACCGCCCACTCAGGGTGATGTCTTAAGCCAGGTCCTCTAGATAAGCTTTAGGTAAGATTAAAGTATTGACTCTTTATTAAGAAGGCAATGATGAGGTGGGAGGGAGTGAGGAAATCAGAGTAAAGGGAAAGGGAAGTGAGGCAAGGGAAAATGCAAAACAATCCAATGCAATGCATTATCACACTGAATAATGATTCATAATGAATTTCAAGAAGACACAGTAGATCCCTCAGCCAGTGGGTTTGTTCATCAGAAGGATTGCAAGGAGGAGCTACACATTGAAGTAGTACATACAAGAGAAAGGAGGAGGGTTTATTTGTCTCACTGTCTCCTGTCTTGCATTTCCAATTGGTCAATGTTTGTCCCATGGAGAGCTTACTCCCTGAACGTTGGGGATATATAATTTGGGCCCATAGTGGTTACTAAGAAATCTGGATCCCATAGCCTGGGGTGTGATATTTCATCCAAATCCCAAAATATGTGTGTGGAGTGGTGAACCAGCATTGGTAGGGTGTTGACTAAAACAAAGAATAAGAGTCAAGAGAACTGAGATGGCACTCAAGTTGTATGTCTAATACAGATCACCCTGAAAGACAGTGGTGAAGAAAACTCTTTCCAATGGGAAGGCCGTCAAACAAAGGGTTGTGCACTTTGCTTGGAAGAAAAGATAAAGTGATTTATCTTTACATCATGATCATTTCAAGCAGTTTTGTCTGTTGGTCAGGGGCTTGGAAAAAGTATGATTGAAAGACTGATGACCAAAAGTCATGGGTAGAGGTTAAAACCAAAAACAAAACCCATTGCTGTCGAGTCAATTCCAATTCACAACGACCCTATAAGACAGAGTAGAACTGTCCCTTTGGGTTTTCAAGGAGCAGCTGGTGGATTCGAACCACTGACTTTTTGGTTAGCAGCCAAGCTCTTAACCAATGCAGAGAAAGTACTCAGTAATCAGGTAGATCAGATTACCCTTGCTGTGAATGTTGATCAGCCTCTATCCCAGCTGCCTGTTGCTTGTTCAATAGAAAAATGAACAAATGTCCATATCAGTCATGGTAAATAGAAAAGGCTGGGGGAGGTGAAGCCCATGCTATTGAGCAGGCAGAGCCTCTAGTTAGATGAGTAAATTCTGCTATGGGCACTTGTACATAAAAAGTCAACTCTGGGTCTGATTTTTCACTATTTCTAGGAAAGAGTCTAAACAGTCTCCTACTGGCAGGTTAGTTATATTGGACCAACAGCAATTTGTCCTCATAAAGTAAGTACATATTCTAAAGACAAATGTGATTTTCCCACCTCCATTGTCCTGCCAGCACCACCAAAAAGGCATACACCATCAAGTTAGCCCATAGGCTATCCCAACAATATCACATGCAACCACTGAACTGATTTTATATTCAAAGAATAATGGGCTTACCCTATGAATGCATTGGTCTTCTAATGTGCCCCATCAGCCAGAAGCAGCTGGCCCAATACAACTGTGGGATGAACAGCTAAAGGCTCAGATATGGCACCAGTTTGAAAACCCCACTGTATGAGATTTGGAGATTGTCATATAGATTCTGTACAAGCTTTAAATGAGCAACCAATATATGGGTATTTTTTCATATCCAGTATACACACACTGGTTAAAGAATCAAGGAAGAGAGATAAAAGTAGCCCCCATTATTGTCACAATAACAACTCATTTACAGAACTTTTTTCTTTCCATCCCCACAACATAAGGCTCAGCCAGTTTGGAGATCCTAGTAAAGAATGGAGAAGTCCTTCAACCACAGAAAGCAAACTTGGTTCTAATAAATTGGAATTTCCGACTCTATCTTGGCTATTTGGAATTTCTTAAGTCACTGAAGGCAGGGTTCCTATACTAACTGGAATGACTTATCCCAATAGCAGGAGAACTTGGGTTGCTGACACACAATGGAGGCAAGGAGGGTTATGCCTAAAACCCAAGGTATACATACACTGGAGAGATTCCTAGTTTTCATTGTCCAATAACAATGGCCACTGTGTTTAAGGCAATATGTGCTAATGTGTTAAAGACAGGAACATTAAGGACATTGATCCTTCAAGAACAAATATTTGGGACACCTCACCAGTTAAAGAATACGGAAGTACTGAAGTATAGGCAGTGAGTGAGGGGAATTTGGAATGAGTGGCATCTTTGATCTTGGAGCCAATTATCAAGGTGGGAACTATGCCAGTTATGCATATATTATGTTAATTGATTATGTGCCTATTATTGGACAGGTGCCAAAACAACCCTGTGGTAGATACATTAATAAACCAGTTACCTTCCAACTCATGGCAATGCCATGTGTGTCAGAGTAGAGCTGTACTCCATAGGGTTTTCAATGGCTGATTTTTCAGAAGTAGATTGTCAAGACTTTCTTCCCTGGTACCTCTGGGTGGGTTTGAACTGCCAATCTTTAGGTTAGCAGTCGAGTGCAAACTGATTGCACCACATTGGGACCTTACATGCATTAATGTTGTTGTGGGGCACCCTCAAGTGGGTTCTAACCTATACTGTACAACAGAAGGAAACACTGCCCAGTCCTGTACCACTACACAATCATTGCTATGTTTGAGCCCATTGTTGCAGCCACTGTGTCAGTCCATCTCCTTGAGTGTCTTCCTCTTTTATACTGACCCTCTACTTTACCAAGCATGATGTCCTTCTCTAGGGACTAGTCCCTCCCGATAACATGTCTTAAGTACATGAGACAAAGTCTTGCCATCCTCGCTTCTAAGGAGCATTCTGGCTATACTTCTTCCAAAACAGAATTATTCATTCTTCTGGAAGTCCTTGATATATTAAATATTCTTCGCCAACATAGTAAGTTAAGGGCATCAATTCTTCTTTGGTCTTCGTTATTCATTATCCACCTTTTGCATTTATATGAGGTGATTGAAAAATACCATGTCTTTAGTGAGGTGCACCTTAGTCTTCAAAGTGACATCTTTGCCTCTTAACACTTTAAAGATATCTTTTGCAACAGATTTGCCCAGTGCAATACGTCATTTGATATCTTAACTGTTGCTTCCATGGGCGTCGATTGTGGATCCAATAAAATTAAATCCTTGACAATTTCAGTATTTTCTCCATTTTTCATGACCAATACTTGCATTAATAAACCTGCTTAATTACATGAGTAGATTGAAGCTCAGAGAGACAGGCACCCAGCTAATAAATAGTAGAGCCAGCACTGAGTCCATGTCTGCCTTATTATGAAATCTATGCTCTTCTCATGCCCATTCTCTTCTCAACTGTGGCTTACTCAATTCCGGCAACAAACAACAAAGGGTCTACAGTGAAGTGAAGCAGTCATTTTCTGAATGTCTTTTTCTTTGATTTTTTTTTTCTTCACTGTTTCCACTCTGCTTTCAAGGACCGTTTATGTTAATGGAATCAACCGAAAACGGTGACATGGTTTGCCAAAGAGAATGACAGGATCTGCCCTCCGTGGTACCAACTCACCTTCCCATTCCCCAAGCTCTCTAACTAAGGGATCTGCAGAAGTTTCTGTGTCCCTGATGCTCACTGCGGGTAAGGTAGTAGAAATCACCCGTGTTTTTCTGAGAGCCCAGTTCCTTCCTTATGCCCAAGTAGGTGACGTTGTCCCCAGAGGCAGTTAGGGCGGGCATGACACACTCCTCTAGAGTGAGCAGTTGATGAGGGGAGAAGAAGGACAGAAGTGGACACATAAACCACAGAGAGTAATTTCAGATCTAAGACTTCAGAGGGAGAGACTACAGAGACTCTGAGCCTCAGTAGCGCAGAGCCAGGAGAGGGAAATGGCAGTAAGGCACTAAATTTGATAATGGAACAGCGTGATTCTAGGACGAAGTGCTGCTGAGTTTTAATTCAATCCCAGCTTCCAAGAAGCCCAAGTCCAGGAGCTCAGAATCTTCTAACCCCTACTCCTCTAGTCTCTTCCCATTTCCCCTCCCACCTCTCTTCCCTCTCTGCTGCTCTTCTTTCTCTCCCTCCACACCCATTTCTCCTCCCCTCCCTTCAATTCTCCTCCCACTCTCCTCCCCTTTTTTTCAGACGCGCGTTTGAGAGGAAATCGAAAGTGAAATTAGGAGTCCACCACCGGCCATTGAGTTCCCTGGTGAGGTGAGTGCAGATGGCTAGGCTAAGGTACCCCAGGCCTGCCTGGGGACCTCTCCCCTCACCCAGATTAGAAGATTCCCTTCCACCCCTACCTTAGAGCCATTGGTCCCAGTTGCCGCTTCTCTGCTGCAGTACTTGGGCGACCCAGCAACACTTCCTGCTCTGGCTCTTCTGATAGGAGCAGGCGGGGCTCCGAAGTGACTGTAGAGTTAGCCAGCCGGAGCTGGGCTGCCCTGTTGCCAGCGTCCTTGGTGGGAGGAGGGGGCGCGCGAACCTGGGAGAACCAGGATGGTAGCCCAGAGGGTAACCCAGAGGAGCCCAGTGTGGAGTGGGTCAGCAGTCCTAGAAACGGAATTTCCCTTGCCTCCCATCCGTTAAGGAGTTTGGCTGCTAACCAAAAAATCGGCAGTTCGAATCCACCGGCTGCTCTTTGGAAACCCTATGGGACAGCTCTACTCTGGCCTATAGGGTCGCTATGAGTAGCAGTGGATTCGACAGCAACGGGTTTGTTCTCTCTCCCCACTCACCCCGTCCTTCCCCCCCAACACACACCTCTCCAAAAATCCACCTCTGCAAGTGAGAGGGACAGGACTGCCCAAGACTTTATGCTGGTCCGAGAATGAGCTGGTCACTGCCCTGGAGGAAGTGAAAACAGGAACCAGCTAGCTAAGAGAAGAGCCCAGGGAGTGCTGGCCACACTTCTTAGCGTAACCCAGTGTGGCCTCCCTTCCAAAAACTTCTCGGGATTTTCCCCATTTCCATACCCCTCAAAAGCAAAACTCCTAAATTTCTTCCTCCTCCTCCCTATCCCTTCCTCTTTCGCATTTTACAGCCTATGTGACTTTCTGTAAATTGACCCTGTTTATTGGTGCATACATATATAAGTATTTATACATGTGTGTGTATGTCTATATGCGTACATGTATATCTCTACATTTGACTCCTGCCGTTTTTGTGAAGATTAATGAATTGTCCCTAGGTGGTGCAAATGGTTAAGAGGCTCAGTCTAAAAGGTTGGTATTTTGAGTCTATCCAGAGGCACCTTGGAAGAAAGGCCTGGTGATCTATTTCTGAAAAAATCAGCCATCAAAAACCCTATAGAGCACAGTTCTACTCTGAGACACATGGAGCCACCATCATTCAGAGTCGACTAGACAGTAACTAGTTTATTGCTATGATTAACTTCTCAGCAAAATCAGTGACTGATTACATGAGATGGGAGAAGATGGCTGGAAAAAGCCTTGGCCCTGAGGGAAATCTTTATAAAAAATCACCAGAAGGATTCCCAAAGTGGTCATTGATGAAATTGGTCCTAGTGTGAAAGCTGGAAACCCTACAGCCTCATATTCAGGCCTCCCACAGCCTGAGCCCTCCATTTCAGCAGCTCCCACTTGGACCCCCCCCCCTTCCAGTCAAATTGGCTGTTATGCATGCCCCAAACAGACAACTTAGATGTGGTTGAATGGGTTCAGCCCCTAGCTGGGCACAGGATTTTTTTTTTTTTTCCTTCATCCTTCCTCCCCTTCCTTCCTTTTGTCATACCTTCCAGGCAGTTGGATTGTAATGGGGAACCTTTGAAGGGTTTAAACTGGGGTGGACATGATGAAAGTAGAGTTGTAAACAGTTTTACCTCTGAGGTTCTGGACAATTATCTTTGTCTCTTTTGGAGACTCAGTTTCCCCTTCTGTCTGGCCAGACTATGGAGGAGAAGAGCTTGTTATTCAGATTGATGTTCTTGCTCTTTCTTGGTTTTATCCCCTCCAGTTCACCTCCCTACAATGTTTTCCTTTGAATCATTTTATTTTTCTCGCACAACCCTCATCTTCTCCTTTCCTTTTCTCCTCTCCCTACTAGTCCCCCACAAGATCTCCCGTGGTGCTGCTGAACAGGAACATTGCCCCTATGGCCTCAACAATGCCCCTGGCAATGATGTGGGAGGAGGTAACGTGCCCTATCTGCCTGGATCCCTTCGTGGAGCCTGTGAGCATCGAATGTGGCCACAGCTTCTGCCAAGCATGCATCTCTGAGGTCGGGAAGGATGGGGGCGGTGTCTGCCCTGCGTGCCGGCACAAATTCCTGCTCAGGAACATCCGGCCCAATCGGCAGCTAGCCAACATGGTTAACAACCTAAGAGAAATGAGCCAGAGTGCCAAGGAGGGCGCAAAGGGCGGTCAGTGTGCGGTGCATGGAGAGAAACTTCACCTGTTCTGTGAGGAAGATGGGAAAATTCTTTGCTGGGTGTGTGCCCAATCACGGAAACACCGTAACCACTCCATGGTCCCTATTGAGGAGGCTGTGCAGGAGTACCAGGTAAGACCTTAGTACAAAGCATGATCAGGAAAGAAGGAGATGGGCCCTGATGAGTGTTTTGTTCTCCAGAGCTTGGGATAGGAGAGAGTAGCCTCTGGAGTTGAAGGATTGGGGAAAGAAAGGAAGGGTGTCTCCCTCCATGTCTGAACTAAGTGGAGAATTGCAGATTGAACAGAACCATCTCATTCCCCAGGAGTAGGGAATATGCTATGGGAAGATGCTGCAAGGATCATGGTTCCTTGTGGCTTCTTTGCCACCCTAACAGTGTGAGTCTAGTCTACAAGAAAGCATCAGACTTTTTCTGAAGTCTTCCTATCCATCAGTTCCTACCCCACCCAGACTCTAGTACTCCATCCTTCTCTGCACCCAGGCTTTTCTAAGAACCAAGATGACCTTCCCGCAGCCCCTGTTACCCCAACCTTTTTAGACTGGTTATGGATTGACTTGCTCTCTCTCTTTGCAGGAGAAGCTCCAGGTGGAATTAGGGAAGCTGAGGAGAAAGCAGGAGTTGGCTGAGAGGTTGGAAGTCGATGTTGCTGAGAAGAGAACAGCCTGGAAGGCAAGAGTCACACCCTGAAAGGGGTCTTAGATCAGAAGCTGGGGCAGAATTCAAGTTCTTGGGCTCAGCTATACCTATCTGAATAGCTATAGGGCTGGTATATCTCACTCTGGGAGAACCAGCCATCCTCTCTGCCTCCTGATAAAGGGGAATAAGAAGGAAGGAGGCTAGAAGGAGAGCTTCCAATCAAACACAAAGAGCGAGAGTCTATAGGAGGGGGTGCTGAGTGGAAGAAACCATACCCTAAAGCTCTCTGCTTCTCCGAGCCCAATCTCTGCAGATGAGAGTACCAGTGCCTTGGTGTCTGGTACTCAAATGTCTCTCAAGAGAGAAACCCAACCACTCTGCCTTTCAGGAAATGGCAAAGGCTGTGAGGAATAGGCTTAAATGTTGAAGTAGAGAAACCAGTTTGAGCAGGTGTTTGCTTGACCATGTTTAGATCACTGGTCCAAAGTACAACAGAGAACTAAAGTTTATTTCCCACTGGTGATTTGCTAGCGGAGGAGGGGCGGGTCAGGGATTGAAGAGGAGTAGAAAGAGCTCGTGGACAAAAAATCCCAGAAAAGGAAGATTTGAGGTGAGAGAGGACAGACTCAGGCTGCAATAGCAAGATGTGACCCTCCAGTTACCAGCAAAAGAGGACAGGCAAAGAATATTCCAGAAACTTCCTTTTCCCATGACTTAGGAATGGTATTGTGCGCCTATCTGTGTGGGGTTGTTGGGGGTGGGGTCTGGTGTTACTGTCTTAACTCATAGAGAAATGAAGGCCAAGGGGCACATTTGAGAGGTGACTGGCTTTTAGAAGAGAGGTTGAGGAGTGTCTTGGATGTCATAGGCTGATGCAGCTGTGATTGTGGGCCAGCTTTAGTGTGCTTCCACCAATCCCAATCTCCTCTTAGTGATGCCTTACCCACTAGTCTTCCCAGCAAAACAATATGTGTGTGTGTGTGCGTGTGTGTGTGAGTGTGAGTGAGTGTCCCCAGACAGAACCAGAGTGGTGAATCTGCAGAGGATACAAATAGGTACAAACATCTTCCATCCTTGAACCCTGAGTGATTCTGATAAAAACCATACTTCTTTTTCCCTTAACACTAAAGAAAAAGGTTGAGACACAGAAATCAAGGATTCACGCAGAGTTTGTACAGCAGAAAAACTTTCTGGCTGAAGAAGAACAGAGGCAGCTAGAGAAACTTGAGAAGGAAGACAAGGATCAGCTGAGAATCCTGGGGGAGACTGAAGCCCAGTTGGCCCAGCAAAGCCAGGCCCTGCAGGAGCTGATCTCAGAGCTGGAGTGGAGGAGTCGAGGCTCAGCGCTGGAACTGCTGCAGGTGAGACCAGGGAGAGGCTGCCTCTGAGATTCAAGGAGTTACCGGCGGGGAAGAAAAAACAGTTCCCTGGGTCTGCCATTAGACCAAATGTAAAGCTGGTCCTTGGAACATGCTTAACCAAAACAAACTGAATTAGGATTCATGGACGGTTTGTACAAGGCATAGAAAGACACAAGTTTAGGAGGGAATATTCCATGCAGCAGAGTCCTGGGTGGTACAAATAATTAACATGTGGAGGTTCAAGTCCACTCAGAAGCACCTTAGAAGAAAGGCCCTGGCAATCTACTTCCAAAAAAATCAGCCATTGAAAACCCTGTGGAGGACAGTTCTGCTCTGAAACACATGGGGTTGTTCTGAGTCAGAAGTGACTTGATGGCAACTGGTTTGGGTTGTTTTTTTTTTTCATTCCATGCAACAATGAACAGAAATAGACATCCTTGGTAAGTGCCTAACACATACTAGGAGTGTAACCTTGAGAGGATCCCTTAATCTTTCTGAGTATCAGATTTCTCAAATGTAAAATGAAGTTTATAATATTACATATCTCAAAGCATTTTTGTGAATTTTAAATAAAAGAATCCGCTAAGGTCCTTAGATGAGTGTCTGGCCATGCGGAGGTTTTAACAAATGAGGTAAAACTAAAAACACTGAACTGAAAATCGAGAGAGAGTAGCCCAGCCCCAGCCCTGCTGTCAGTTCTCTGCATGACTCTAGGTTAAGTCATTTTCCTTTCCTGGACCTAATTTCTTCATTTGTAAAACAGCAGGGGTGGGGAGTGGACAAAATAACGGGGATACTCAAAAGTATAGCCGTAAATGTATCATCTTTACACTTTCTGCTACTTCTCTGACTGCCTAAATGATTTTAACACGTTATTTTTCCTTAAATTTTTTTAGCTTAAATAAGTTTAGTTTAGAAGAAAATTTGTCCCAGGCAATAATAGCCAAGGAATTCTGTTTTGATATATTGTTGTCAGGTGCCATCAAGTCAAGTTCAACTCATAGCAATCCCATGTGACATAGTAGAACCACCCCATAAGGTTTGTTGGTTGTAATCTTTATGAAAGCAGATTGCCAGGTCTTTCTCCCATGGAGTCACTGTGTGGGTTTCTACCGCCAACCTTTTGGTTAGCATCCGAGTGTTTAACCATTGCACCACCAGAGCTCTTTGTTGATACGTTATTTATATTTTATTCTAATTTATTTCATAACAATAATAACTGCAAGCTCTTAAAAAGCACATGTTACATGCCAGGCATATCCTCACGGCAATGCAGTGAGGTGGGTGTGACTACTATCCCCATTTCATAGCTGAGAACGCAAAGGCACAGAGATGTTAAGAGTCTTAGTGAAATACTGAAGTTAAGTAACTTGACCAAGTCTGCCCAAATATTAAGAGGCAGAGCTAAGATTAAAATAAGTAGATAGCTATCTTTTTAAAATTCATGAAAACATGATCTCACTCACATGAAATACCCAGAACAGGCAAATGCATAGGGATTGAAAGTAGATTAGTAAATACCACGGGCTAAGATAGGAATATGAGCATGCGAATATGGGAAGTTAAGGCTTAATGGGTACACTGTTTCTGTTTGTGGTGATGAAAAAGTTTTGGAAACAAATAGTGATGAAGGTTGCACAACATTGTAAATGTAATTAATGTCTCTGAATTGTACACTTAAAAAAGGTTAAAATCAGAAATTTTCTGTTATATGTGTTTTTCCACAATTTTTTAAAAATTCATCAAGGAATATTCTGCTTCAAATTATCTTGTATCCACTGTATGTTTGCCACACTTTGGGGAACCATGGACCAGATGGTCTCAGAAGTCTCTTCTGTTCTAACATTGTACACCCACTCCTCACTTATCAACATGGTTAGATTCCAAAGACCAGATCCTTATGCAAAAAGCAGCGTTTATGAAAATGGAGGATGACCACATCAGATCACAAAATGGAGGATGACTACGTGATTACAAAACTGCCAAATTACATCATTACATAACTGCCAAACCACTGAGAATCATGGCCCAGCCAAACTGACACATAACCTTAACCATCACAGCCAACTTTACTCTCTGTTACTGCCAGATGTACATCATTAATGTGCGAAATAGTCGGATAATAGATTTTTTACTATTGTCATAAATGTGAAATGTTGAATAATGAGATCATTCACCATCTCTCACTCAGATGTGGTCATGAAGCCATTTCTTTCTGGTTTGTGCAAAAAGGCTGATTTGATTGGGCTGACTTGACAGGCTTTCTCCTCCCATTATCCAAATCTTGTTTCTTCCTGACATTGAACTGAGCTGTCTAATGCAGTTTTGACTGGGCCTAGGACAAGCTTACCAGTTCACATGTGAGGGCCCCTGTGCCAGAATATTCTCAGATGATTTGATTTTACATATGCGAAGGGCAGCATTGATGTACAGCACAGGACAGAGTTTTGACCAACCAGCCCTTCTCCCTCAAACAACTCAAACCCACAAATGAGATAGAGCAGTTTCTGGGCATCCTGATTTAGACATTCTTTCCCTCTAACTCTCAGCCTCAGCCAGGATGGACCGTTGCCCTTCCACCCCCCCTGGAGCTGGGCTATCTAATTCATATTCCGCACCAGAGTCTTTAAACTGATGATCTTTTCTCTAGGTACAGGTTACACCCATGCTAGGTTCCACACACTATTTCTGCTCCAAGCTGGTCAGAAACAGCTTTCTGCCCCTAGAATAGGGCAGAGCAGTGCCCTAGGAGCACAGGTTTATATCACATTACCCTTAGGACCAAAGTCTCAGTGATGAACCACTGACTCAAGAACTTACTCTCTGTCTCTTTTCTCCTCAGGAGGTTTCAAGTGTCCTGGAAAGGTAAGGAGAGGTTTTCTTTGTAAGGGGAGGGAGGGACAAGAAGCATATATACCAATGAAAACGGTTATTGAGGTAGGTGAACGTGCTAAAGTTATCCCCATCCTCCTCCCCATTCTCAAAGACCTGATCCTCCATAAAATATTTTCTAGTCTCAGAAGACTAATTAATGGGCATCCCCATTGGTGAGTTGCCAAAGTGATTGGACTATACTATCTTCACAAAGCAAAGCCCTGGCAAACAGTGAAATTCTGGGAAGTTCTGAGTCTACAACCTGCTGGGAATCCCTTTTTAAATGGAATTTAACCTGTTACAAACCTCCGAGAAGGAGCCATAAGTTAAGACCCACAGCATAGGCAAGACTTCTTGAGGTTCATCACAGAAGTGATTCAGCCTGTATCAGATGGCCTTGCCTATAAAATGCAGTAGAATGTGCTTACAGGGTGGCTAGGCTTGGAGAGGAGATAGGGACTACCTACATACTGCAGAGGCTCCTGTAATTAGGAACTCTTGAAAAGGAACTCAGTCTCCCCACTCCCAAGGACTGAACACAGGAGATGCTTGTAAATTTGTGTTAAATTAAATTATCACAGTCATCCACGAGGGAGGTTATGGCATTAGGATTCCAGAAGGATGTGATAGGAGTTAGAGACAGGGATCTCAACACTCTGTTTCCCTCAGGAGTGAGGCCTGGAACCTAAAGGAGCTGGACATTGTCTGCCCAGACGTGAGGAGTGAGTGCCGTGTGCCAGGGCTGAAGAAGATGCTGAGGACATATGGAGGTGAGGCGAGCTCTAGGAGTTGTGCGACTGGCCTGCATGGGAACCAGAAGGGTACAGTGAGGATGCAGAGCCCATGCCCAGGGATGGGGAGAACAGCAGCATCTAGGGGAGATGGCAGGTTCGAGTAGGTGGGCAGGATGGAGATAGTGAAGGTGTCCCTCAAAGGTCAAGGCAATGGCCAGAGTTGGATGGGGTGCCATTTCCTCACACACTGAGGCTCAAGGTCACTCCCTCATCCTCATTCCATAGTTTACACATGCACAGGCCACTGACCCATCACCACCCCTAGTCAGTCCGCACTCTCCAAGCCTGACCATGGTCCCTTCTCTGCAGTACACATCACTTTGGATCCAGACACAGCCAATCCGTGGCTCTTCCTTTCTGAGGATGGGAGACAAGTGAGGCTTGGAGAAACCCGCCAGGAGTTGCCTGAAAAAGAAGAGAGATTTGATTGTTATCCTATGGTCCTGGGTGCCCAGTGCTTCGACTCTGGAAAATTTTACTGGGAGGTAGATGTGACTGGAAAAGAAGCCTGGGACCTGGGGATTTGTAGACACTCTGTGAAGAGGAAGGGGCAGTTTTTGCTCAGCCCTGATAATGGCTTCTGGACAATTTGGTTGTGGAACAAACAAAAATATGCAGCTGGCACCTCCCCCCAGACTTCCCTTCACCTTCAGGTGCCTCCTCGCCAAATTGGAATCTTCCTGGACTGTGAGACCTGCACTGTCTCCTTCTATAACGTCACTGACCATGGCTCCCTCATCTACACCTTCTCTGAATGTGACTTCGCTGGGCCTCTGCGGCCCTTCTTCAATCTTGGTTTCAATGACAGAGGACAAAACACGGCCCCTCTGATCCTGCGTCCACTGAGACTGGGATGGTAGGGGTCCACCGACTGTTGGTAGCTTTCCTCTGGACACTGCTGACTGCTCCCTGTTGGTACCCTTCTCAATCATTCTCCCCGCCTCTTTCATTAACTCTGAGCCACCTCTGCCTCTGCAAAGGTGTCAGCATCACAATAAGCAGGCTTTGGCACTGAAAGCCAATGCCAAGTGGCTTTCAACAGCAGTATTTCCGCCCTAGATTGCTTATGATTCCGTCCAAGGAAGCAGACCACTTCTATTAGGTCCAAACTCATCTGGATCAACCAAAAACACATTCCTGCCTTCTTTATGTGACTCAAGTTTTGTTTTCTTCTCTCCATCCCTATATCCATTGCCTTTGTTCAGATCTGTGTTCTATCTTGCTGAGTTTATAAAAAGGCTTCCTGGGGGAATCATGCCTCAGTCTACCCCATTCAGAACTTTTTTCTCATCTACATCTAGGATTATCTTTCCAACATGTGGGTCTAACCTGATAAACCGGCTCGAACATGCTAATTTCCCTAAGCCTTTGGATACCTTCTTCTACAGTATACCAAGGCAGATCTGGTACTTCAGCTTGATTTCATGGAGGCCACCACATAATCCATGCTTCAGCAACCCAACCAAATAAACTATTAGATCCTTTCCTAACTTCTCAAGCTGAAACAGTGAATGAAGAATCTGTGCTTAGTGAGCCCGTATCAATAAACTCAGACTGATCCATGTTTATGTTCCTTGCACCAATTTCCCACACCATGAATAGCCATTCCCACATATATTCCCCAGGCTTCTGTTTGTACATATTAGAAAAGTCAAGCAGTTCTATCAGAGTGTAGCATACCTCCTCCTGAGTTACACTGTACTTCACCTTTTGGGGCTCGCTGGGACTTAAGTCTAGTTATAGGTCTAGAAGCCAAAATCAGTGAGGAAATGTTTTGAGAACATTCAGCATTGTCTTGTAAAGCATCTCCCTCAGGCGATGTTCCGGGCAATGACTCAGACAAAGGCACTTTAGCTGCAACCGGGTTAATCTCATTAGATGGAAGTGGATGGGCTAATGGTTCTGTTGGCAGGAGTGATTCAATGGAATTTAGGGGCTTAGTGTCTCCAGCTTCCTGACTATCTGCCCATATGTCCCCATCTCAGGTTTCAGGATCCCATTTCTTCCCAATCAGTGCCTTCACTGTAACTTCAGACACCTCTCAAGTTTGGCAGTTGAGTTGGCATGGTAACTCAGCCACTCTTACGATAAGACTCTGGGTTTGGTTTTTGGCAGTATCAGCTCCGTTACTACAAGAAGTAAGGCTTGCTTTCAAGGCACAAGTGGAAACTTTGAGGTCATTTATGCGGCACTTGAGCTTTGACTCTGAAGCCCTGAGCTCATTTCTTTCTTTTACCAGTTTGTCTAGCAAATGTAAGATGAAGTAGTATGATGTGGCAGGATTCAAATCTAATTCTGATCCAAAAGCCCACCCTCTTTCCTAAATACTAACCTTTCCAAAGTTACCGGTAATCTGGCTGTTAACTTTATTGTTTCCAAAGTCAGTACAAGTCACTTTGTTCAAAGTCAGTGGAACTCTTAATTAATTTATAAGTCTCCACAAAGTAGACAGAGAAATGTGAAGCCCTATGTTGGTAAACATACCACCGGATCAGTTACACAAACTGAGCATTGTTTCCACAGTGAAGACAAAGAACTGACCGCACATTCTCAAATCTGCCTAGTCTTGACCCCATAAGTGATGTGGTTTAGCATGAGAGGGGCCAACGTGCAGATATTGGCCAGCAGGATGTGTGTATGGAGAGAAACATGGCACCCAAATCACTGGGTGTCTTTGGATGCTTCACTAGAGAAGCAAAACCAGTGAAGTACATATATATATATAAAGAGAGAGATTTATATCAAGGAACTGACTCGTGGTTGTAGAGGCTGGCAAGTCCCAAGTCCATGGGTCAGGTCTCAAGCTGGAGTCTTCATGAACTCATGTAGCTGCAGGGGTTGACGAACCAAAGATCAACAGGTAAGATGGCTGGCTGCTCACTCAAGTGCCGAAAACCAGAGGTCAGATAAAGATAAGCCGAATGCAGGATCCAGAGCCACGCAAAACCCAATGAGGTTGGCCAGAAAGTCCATACATATAGGATGCAGGCTACATCCCCAAGGAAACTCCCCTTTAACTGAGTGGCTGCTCACAACAGATATCATCATGAAGGGGATTACATCATTACATAACTGCCAGATTATGTCATAGCTGCCAAACGACTGAGAATCACGGCGAGCCAAATTGACACAACCTTAACCATCACAGTCCACCACTTGTCAACTTGGCTCCTGTACACATCTCCTTAAACCATACATAATCTCTTTATAAAGAAAATCATAAAATCATGTTTGTCCCTAATAAGATACAACTAACACACATACAACCGAAAACACAGTAGCCCTGTTTACATCTTATATTTTATCAGTGAAGAAAATAAAAATATATGATGCACACATACAAGGAAGAAATACTCATAAGTTACAGTCATCATTTCTACAACTGGTCATTGGGTTGTAACTGATATTTAGAACTACCTTCTTCTACCACCCATTTTGCATTCCCTTTACGTTCTGCAACCACCTCAGCTGATCGTGGTTCTTTGCCTGGTGGAGTGACCCAAACCTTCATTTTTGAAGGGTCTGGGCCATTATTAGTCATGTAGGAATTGAGTTGCTATAGTTTTCCATTGACTTTAATCACAGGGCATGGTAGTACTAAGAGACACCCTAAGGGATCTCCTGTATTCCAGACATACTCTTCTTTACCTCCATTATGTAATATCAATCCAATTGCCTTTTGGTATTCAGGATCAGTCACACCATCCAGAATGGTAATTCCCTTCTTTGCCTGTTGATCCAGAGGCATAAGAAGCCTGAAGTGGCAGGGTGGCATTTTTAACTTAATGTTCGATGGAATCAGTAATATGTCTCCAGATGGGAGCATTCCTCCCTTTGGAATAAGACCTCTAGAGCTGCAGACGATAGGGTTGTGGGGACAGGAAGCAAAAATTTTTTAAGTTGGTCACTAAGGGTAATAGTGAGTGGTGCCCCTCCTATTTCCACCCCTTGATTCCTGGACCCATCTATCCTGGCTATGGTAGAAATAACACCATATATTGGACACTGGTTTAGAGCACATACAGCCTCCTGGAGAGCATTGTCCCAACCCTACAAGGTATTGCCACTTAGCTGGCACCAAAATTGTGTCTTTAGAAGGCCATTCCAGTGTTCTATCAATCCAGCTGCTTCAAGATGATGGGGAACATTGTAAGACCGGTGAATTCCAAGAGCATGGGCCCATTGCTGGAATTCGTTTGCTGTTAACTAAGTCCCTTGATCCAAGGTGATGCTGTGTGGGATACCATCATGGTGGATGAAGCATTCCGTAAGTCCACAAATGATAGTTTTGGCAGAAGCATTGCGTGCAGAGAAGGCAAATCCATATCCAGTGTAGGTGTCTATTCCAGTAAGAACAAAATACTGCCCTTTCCATGATGGAAGTAGTCCAATGTAATCAACCCACCACAAGGTTGCTGGCTGATCACCTCAAGGAATGGTGCCATATCAGGGACTCAGTGTTGGTCTCTGCTAATGGCAGATTGGGCACTCAGTATTGGCTGTGGTCAAGTCAGCCTTGGTGAGTGGAAGTCCATGCTGCTGAGCCCATGTATAACTTCTGTCCCTGTAACCATCTCCACTTTGTTCATGAGACCATTGGTCAATGACTGGAGTAGCTGGGGAAAGAGAGTGACTGGAGTCTACAGAGCTGGTCACCCTATCCACCTGATTGTTAAAATCCTCCTTTGCCGAGGTTACCCTTTGGTGAGCATTCACATGAGACACAAATATCTTCACTTCTTTGGCCCATTCAGAGATGTCTGTCCACCTACCTCTTCCCCATAAATCCTTGTCTCCAGTTTTCCAATCATGTTCCTTCCAAGTCCCTGACCATCCGGCCAAGCCATTGGCCACAGCCCATGAATCTGTATACAGTTGCACATCTGGCCATTTCTCCTTCCAAGCAAACTGAACAGCGAAGTGCATTGCTCAAAGACCTTCCCACTGGGAGGATTTCCCTTCACCGCTGTCATTCAGGGAGGTCCCAGAAAGGGGCTATAATGCTGCCACTGGCCATTTTTGAGTGGTGCCTGCATATCATGCAGAACCATCTGTAAACCAAGCATGAGTTTTCCTCAGTCAACTGATCATAAGGAACACTCCATGAGACCATAGATTCAGACTAGGAGATGGATGGTAATGTGACAGGAGTGGAGATCATGGGCATTTGGGCCACTTGCTCATGCAACTTACTTGTGCCTTCATGTCCTTCTGAGGCCCAACCTTGTATATACCACTTCCATTTAACAATGGAGTGCTGCTGTACACGTCTGACTTTATGGCTCTGTGGGTCAGACAATACCCAGTTCATGATGGGCAGCTCAGGTCACGTGGTGACTTGGTGGCCCATGGTTAAGCGTTCAGTCTCTACTAAGTCCCAGGAACAAACCAAAAGCTATTTCTCAAAAGGAGACTGCTTATTTGCAGAGGATGGCAGGGCTTTTCTCCAAAATCCTAAGGGTCTGCACTGTGATGCACCCATAGGGGCCTGCCAAAGATTCCAAACAGCATCTCTATCTGCCACTGACACTTCCAGAACCATTGGGTCAGCCAGAGCATATGGCCCAAGTGGTAGAGTGGCTTGCACAACAGCCTGAAACTATTGCAGAGCTGTTCTGGGCCCCACTCAAAATCAGTAGCTTTTTGAGTCACTTGATAAATAGGCCAGAGTAGTACACCTAAATGAGGGATATGCTGCCTCCAAAATCCAAAGAAGCCCACCAGGAGTTGTGCCTCCTTCTTAGTTGTAGGAAGGGCCAGATGTAACAACTTATCCTTTAGAAGGAATATCTCAACATGCCCCACACCACTGGATTCCTAGAAATTTCAGTGAGGTGGAAGGCACCTGAATTTTTATGGGATTAGTTTCCTACCTCCAGCACACAAAATTTTTACCAGTAAGTCCAGAGTCATTGACACTTCTTCCTTACGAGGTCCAATCAACATAATGTCATCAATGTAATGAACCAATGTGACATCTTGTAGAAGGGAAAAGCGATCAAGGTCCCTGTGAACTAAACTATAACATAGGACAGTGAAGGTGTATTGCTGGCTGTGCCAGCTGAAGGCAAACTACTTCTGGTTTTTCTTCAAAATGGGAATTGAGAAAAAAGCGTTGGCCAGATCAATAGCTGCATACCAGGTACCAGGAGATGTATTAATTTGCTCAAGCAATGAAATCACATCTGGAACAGCAGCTGCAATTAGAGTAACCACCTGGTTAAGTTTCCGATAATCCACTGTCATTCTCCAACATCCATTTATTTTTTGCACAGGCCAGATAGGCAAGTTGAATGGGAATGTGGTGGGAATCACCACCCTTGTTTCCTTTAAATCCTTGATGGTGGCAGTAATCTCTGCAATCCCTCAAGGAATGAGGTATTGCTTTTAGTTTACTATTTTCCTAGGTAGGGGCAGTTCTAATGACTTCCACTTGGC